TCTGGAGGTTGATATTAAAAATGCCAAAACTATGTACATATTCAAGAGGATGATAAAAATTTGTTTTTTAAAAAAATATTAAGTATAATGTGAGTTCATAAAAATTGTTTACAGTTGATCTTATATTTTAACTAAGTTTTTTTTATTATTTTTTACTTTTTTATTTTTTTATAAATTCATCTTGCTTTTGTATAGTAATTTTGTTTGGAATATATTTTGGGGACAAGGGGCAGATATTATAAGAATTCATTCTTCTTCTGCTGCCTTTCATTTTATTTCTGTGATTGTATATCTTTTTTCTTTTCTTTAAATTGTATTATATTTGTTGTTTGGATGAAATGAAATGGATAAATAAAACATACATACATACATACTAGTCTCTATTAATCTGAATAACTGCTGCAGCACAACAGGTTCAGTCCATCATAGTTTCTTTACAAACCCCCTCTTAAAATAATAATTAATATTAAAAGTACATAAAATACCTAAAACAGAAAGCTGCAAAAAAAGTTTACTTCAAGTGGACAGCAGCATCCACATGGTGTATAAGTGCTGAATCAGTGTATGAATGCTGTTTTCCATGATTGATGACCTCTCTTATGAGAGTTAATTGGTAACATGAGAAAACACTGTTCTCATCACAGAGGCTTTGTTTTGGTTGTTTTCAGTGTGGAGACCTCTTAACATCCCTGTTGTTCTGCTGTCATTTAGCTTCGCTTGTTTGGGCAGACAACACAAAGTGACGACATAAAAGGCAACAAAGTGGTACCGCAACGTGTGCTTTTATCCTGCTTCGGCTGCTTACAGTCAAGGAGAGACAACAGCGTTGGCATTTTAATGCTACAGGTCGTCTTTTCATCAAAGGCTGGATTTCACTCTGGAACCAGCTGCAGGATCATAAATGTCACCTGCCTCAAGTCTTACCTTCAACAGGCTCAATATGAAGAGGATTTAAACCAGAAATAATTAGATATGGGCATTAGAGCTTCACAAATCACCCCCCCCCCCCAACCAAAAGTCTCACTTGGGCCTTTTATCTCCTTCTCACGTTTGTGAAAATTCAATAAAATTCAATGTGAACTTAAGTTCACATTGATGCAGGAATTTAAAATAAAAGCATTTAAAGGATTTGTGGTTCATGGCACATTTTGTTGGAGAGACAGAGATAATTCTTTTTGTTATGATCTGAAACAGAAAAAATAAACACTGTCTACTTACCAGTCTGGTGTTGACCACAGGGAACATTAACGCCAGTAAGGCCCCATTCAACATGTGGACATGCAGCCTGAAACACGCAGGAACATGGCATTAAAGAAAAAGAACAACACAGGTAGGAAAAGAAAAGATGCAACCAGTAGCCTTCTTTATGTTTTAGAATCAGTTCCTTGTTGGAGCGATGATGGCAGAATGTCATGTGACCTGACGTTTTCTACGAGCCGTTTAAAAACAGAAAAGAAAGTTGCTCTCATGATTCAAAACTAATAATTGTTCCTGGCTTCTTTATCAATCTGGAGTATAACAAATATTCTTTAAGCTTTGAAAATGCACTTTTTTACTGTAGAGAGCCTCAGAGAGCCCAGCTCTGTTAAACTTTGGACCTGCACACTTTGACATATAAGCTGCTTTTTTTGTTAAATGAGCCACGGCGACTGATGTGACAGCTAAGGTCACGGGGAAAACAGAAGAAGTGTGGAAATGTCACTTCAGATGCACCCAGCTGTCACTCCTCCAAGCCTCTCTGGATGTTTCCTGAGAAATGCTTCACTTCATTCAGGCTCTAACTCACCACAGTTGTGGGGCTTGCACAATAATTAAGATAAGATAAGTTAGAACTTTATTGATCCCGCAGGAAATTGTTGTGCGAGAGTTTCAATCCAAAGGAACATGGAATCACACAAGATATAAAAGATAACAGAGAATAAAAAAATAACATCAATTAAGTTATAAACAGGTCAGGTGCAGACAGAAACATTAAAGTGTTTATTCTAGTACAGGATTAATTTTATTATCCTATGTGTAGAAAGGGGGAGGAGTTGAAAAGTTTGAAGGACTTCCTGTGTTGTTCTGTGGAGCACCTCGGTGGTCTCAGTCCACGGCTGAAGGTGCTGTGGTAAGAGTCCAGGGTGTCATGCAGGGGGGGGGGGGTGACGTGTTGTTCAGGATCTGGAGCAGTTTCCTCTTCATCCTCTGCTCAGACACCTCTGTCAGAGACTGCAGCTCCACTCCCAGAACTGAGCCAGCTCTCTTGATGAGTTTATCAAGTCTGTTGGCATCAGCTTTCTTCACCCTGCTGCCCCAGCACACCACAGCGTAGAAGATGCTGGAGACAAAACATCTGCAGCATGGTCCTGCAGATGTTAAAGGACCCAAGTCTCCTCAGAAGAAAAAGGCGACTACCCTTTCTTGTAGAGGGCGTTGTTGTTAGCTGTCCAGTTTATTGTCTAGGTGAACCCACAGGTACTTGTAGCAGTCCACAGTGTCCACCTTAGTACCCTTGATGTTGATAGGGCTGGGGGGGCTGTTCTTCTTCCTGTAGTCCACCAGCAGATCTTTAGTTTTTCCAACGTTGAGTTGCAGGTGGTTCTGTCCACCACACCTCTGTATTCAGCTTCCTGATCACCAGTGATGCAGCCCACAATGGCAGAGTCATCCAAGAACTTCTGCAGATGCAGGATTGTGAGTTGTACCTGAAGTCCGAGGTGTAGAGGGTGAACAGAAACGGTGACAGGACCGTTCCCTGAGGAGCCCCTGTGCTGCTCAGTCTGGCGTCTGAGGTGGTGTTCTGCAGCCTCACATACTGTGGCCGACCTGTGAGGTAGTCTCTGATCCAGGTGACCAGCGAGTCATTCACCTGCATGTCCAGGAGCTACTGCAGAGTAGAGCAGGTCTTATGGTGTTAAAAGCACTGGAAAAGTCAAAGAACATGACTCTTACAGTGCTGCCTGTAAGCTCTGCGCAGCAGGTAGATTCAATTCAATTCAATTCAATAATACTTTATTAATCCCAAAGGGAAATTATTTTGTTGTTGTAACTCGTTATCCTCATTTCATTAAGAGATGTTATAGATGCTGATGGCTCTTGTAAAGGTCCATCCCTCAGTGGATCCTAAGAAACTGGCTGCAGATGCTGTCCGATCCGTCCACCCAGACTCGGCTGGCCTCTCGGTTCCCCTGGACTGTAGGACCACCTGAATGCTGGCCAGAACTCCTCCCAGCAGTCTGCCAAGCTCCTCATAGCTGCAGACAGCCAACTGTAGGTGCTGAGGGACGATCCTGTCCTTCCGCTGTCATGAGCCGTGTTTCCTGCTAGTTCCAGGATCTCAGTGGTCAGGCACTCTAGCACAGTTGGCAGGTAGATGAGAATGCGTCCACATAACATCCTTTTCAACTCATTTGAGAGTTGGGATCATAGTTGAGATATTATTTGAGCTTTTGAGATGTTAATCAGCTGCTGTTGTTGTAGAAAACTGCCTTGTTGCCATGGTTACGCATCATAACAAATGTCCAAAGCCAAAAAAAGTCTCAGTAAAAGTCCTTCCAGCTGCACAGCATCTGATACCAGAGGAAACAATCATCCAAAAAATATGATTTACATCCAGAAAACCAGGAATTAAAGTTTCCAAAAGCAAAATCTCAGAATGAAAGCAACAGATGATGGCGTCATCAACTCCAATGCATGGCTGGTATGCAAACTGGAGGGGGTCCAGGTATGGTTGCACACGTTCCACATTTTCACACCACATTAGCACGCCTGCTAAAGGTTTCTTCCTCATGAGGGAGTTTTTCATTTCCACTGTCACCTTCATGCTTGCTCAAGATGAGAGTTCTGCGATGGGAGTTCAATTCAAAGCAGTCTGCTCCTCAGATAAATAATGTTAAATTATTATTTTTATATAAGAATGTTTCTGTTCAGTGCCCTGAGGTGACTTCTGTTGTGACTTGGTGCTATATAAATAAACTGAATTGAACTGAATTAACAGTAGCACAAGTTCTGCTGGCACCCTGTTTGTCAACAGCACCGGTGGTGGTTGTTGTTGACAGATCTGGTATGATGTTGCTTAGATGAACTCGCATGTTGATTTTGACAATAATGTTTTACATCGGATGCCCTTCCTGACACAACCCTCACCATTTACCCAGGCTTGGGACCAGCACAAGAGATATACAGTACTGGCTTGTGCTCCCTTGTGGCTGGTTTATACTTGAATGACTCTACTGAACTGAAATCACCATCATCCTCTAATATAACCATATTTGGTTACAGGAAATGTAAATGAACATTTTCAGCTGTCTGCATTTACAGCCAAGAGGTCACTTTTATATGTTAATGAAACAAAAAATACTGTGAAGGCCCTCTTTGTTATTTATGTACAAATAATCTACTGAAATGTGTTTTTCCAAGGCCTAGGTTTTTACTGGGCAATAATAAAAAGAAATTCAGGTAAATGTTAAGTTACTGCTTGAATTGTCTCTCTGTAACTCTAAACCACGCACTGTTGTTGTTTTGTGTGGCCTGCAGGAGCAGAGTACGCACTCTACTTGTATTTATGACAAAATCTCACTCCGTGTTGGCAAAAATCTTTTATAAATAATTAACTTCTCTGACCAGAGGAGCTTTATAGGAGAGACTGGGGACTCAAACAAAGCCGTGGTAATAAATAATCTCTAAAATCTCAATTTATTTTGCAAAATTCTACAAGTAACAAAATATAGTAATTGTTTTTTTTAAATGGAAATAGGAATTCATTTGAACAAATTTGAACATCTGCTCAGAGGCTCAATTAAAGTCAAGACTATCTTTTATAACTACAGGCTCTTGTGGCAGCTTTATAGTGCATGTGGATGACTTAAGAGCCCAAAACAAGTTCTTATACAACTATAAGCTGATGCACAAGTTGAATTCTGTGCTTACAAAGATCATTTGAACAGAATATACATGCTGAGATGAAAGATGAGGAATAAAAGAACTCACCTAAACACAACCATGGCTGTTTTACATGGCGGGCAGGCCAGCAAAAAGATCTGTTACAGATAGCACAAACAGAGAGAGGGAGAGTCAACCACAATGTAAATCCATTATTGAACTGCTTACAGGCATTAAGAGCTGCCTGCTTTCAGTACTGAAAGTACAGAGATAGATAAGTGTGTATGTACTATAATAAAAACAAACATTTAGGGGAAAAATGTTTCATAAATATCTACTTATGCAGAAATTAAGAGACAGACAAACAATTCAGACACAAAGCAACACTTTGCAATAGTTGTCAAAGGCTTTTACGGTTTAAAGTGAAGGTCAGTTTGAAATTAGTTTCTAATCTTATTGATTGCAGAGGATGAGTTGCACCAAACGGATGCTCTATACCCTGAATAAAAATGAAACCACAGACAGCTCAAAAGGGGCCGTCAGTCCTTCTCAACAAGAATATCTGATGTTAATGTCCTCTGTGCTGACGAACATTACATATATTAGCTATACAAGAAAAAAGATTGAATGAATAAAGGAGAAAAAATAAAATGCTAGGTATTTTTATCGGATGCTCCGTGGTTTTAATGTTGATTCTACTTTTATGAAAACGTTTTATTGAGTCTCTTAACTTTGACCCTCATCTGTTAGTTTGGACTTTTGATATGTAAAAACAGGAACCAACTCTTGGGGATTGTGAGGATGTGCAGCAAAGCTGCTGGCATTGCTCTACAGAACCTCACTGACCTACACAAGGAGAGGTCAGTGAACAAGAACAGGTTGATTCTGGCAGATCCTGTTCATCCACTTCATGGTGAGCTCAGGTTGCTTCCATCTGCTGTGGGGCGGCTGTGGCTGAGTGGTTAGAGCAGTCGTCCTCTAATGCGAGAGTTGGGGGTTCGAATCCACCAGCAGTCACATGCTGAAGTGTCCCTGGGCAAGACACTGAACCCCTCAGCCTCTGAAGTGTGTCCCATCAGTGTATGAATGTGATCTAAAGCACTGATTAGTCTCATTAGAATGATTTGTTCAATTAGCTTTGTAGAGATCTAGTAGAGTGCTGTGTGGATGGGTAAATGAGGCACAGATTGTAGTGTAAAGCGCTTTGAGTATCTTGAAATAAGATAGAAAAGCACTATATAAATACAGTCCATTTACCGTTTACCATTTATCTGGATGCAGGTATCTGCTGCTCAGATGTAGAACAACCAGACTGAAAAACTCATTCATCCCTGTAGTGATCAGGCTTCACAACGAACAGTGATGATTTCATGTACTGTTATTTAACATCTCAATGTCTTGAGTAGTACAGATGTTTTGTGTGCCTACTTGACTGTGAAACAAATTGCCCCTCGGGGATAATAAAGATTCTTGAACTCAAACTAGACTCCTGCTGTGGGATTGTCCGGTTCTCTTGGTGAATACATTTAAAGAGCTAGAAAATACTTTGATTCCTTCCAGGCCTGGTACAAAATACTCAACAACTAACCACAGAATACACAACAGGAATTTAAAAGGTACTGGAGTAGAGCGTAGAACTTAACAAATATTTTCTGTGAATACAGAATTTAACATAAACACAATTGTATTGGACGGACGGACAGATGGACGATCGGTCGGTCCAATACAATTGTGTTCATGTTGAATTCTGTATTCACAGAAAATATTTGTTAAGTTCTACGCTCTACTCCAGTACCTCTGAATTTCTGTTGTGTCGGTCGGATGGTCGGACGTCCGACCGACCAACCGTTCGTCCGTCTGTCTGTCCATCCTTCCATCATCTTTTACCCACTTCTTCCGTTTTGGGTCACACAATTAATTTTGATAATAAAAAAAAACAAACATTTTATACAACTTGCTCCTGTGTCTATGCGCCATTCAAAAAAACAGGTCTCTCTTGTAAATGAGTCCTTGAGTCTCACTGAGTCTAACCTGTATAAATAAAGGTTGAACGAAAAGAAAAAAGAAAAAGAACAACAATTCTTGATGAGAACTGTAGTATTGCACAAAGACATGAAAACTCAAATGAGCTCAAACATAACATTTTGACATTTGGAGTGAAAATCCCACGACAACAGTACCTCTTAAAACATGCAATATGTTAGACAGGAGATTAAGTTGATTTCAAGTTGAAGAGCTAGAAGCAGAAAAAAAAAGAGCAACTGAAGTTGCATATATTGTTACACTTGATCAAATAAAGATAGTAGAGTAGATGGACCATCTTATTGGTGATCATTGCTCTCCTTAGCTCACCGAACAGTTTGCGATCAAAAGCTGCAAATATAGAGCAGAACAGAATATGCTGCATGTGAACAACTAAATGAGAAACCAATTATTGTTATATCCTGATGCATGCTCAATTATTGTTATCTTTACCGGTTAAAAACAAGAATAATGTTGAAAAGGTGCTACCTGCAGACCATTAATCATGGCTGAAGCTTTCATGAGATGTTCTGTGTTCACTGTGGTCAGGACGTTCTGTACAAACAGTAATCTGATGACTGGGAGCTTGTTCATAGCTTTGCAACAAAGTGAAGATGAATTTAAGCTGCTAGGTATTAGTGTTGCCACAAAACTTCTGAACTCTGTTTCCATGGCAACATTACAAATGCAAAAGTGTTGTTCAGAGAAAGATACAGAAGATACATATGAACAGGAGAGGCCTTCAGTTGAGAATGATGTTACTGCTCTTGCTAACAGGTTGGCTAACTGTATTATTATGATAATAGTCAGAGCTGCTTAGTTTTAATGAAAAACCAAAGATGGGATTGGCAGGAGAGGGGGTTAGAAAAAGGGACCTTATGAAAAGGATGGTGAGAAATAAACTGTCATCATTAAAAGCAAAAATCAACAGAAACATCTTCAAAATCCCATGTTAAGTTAAATGTTTTTATAGAAAAAAACTAGAATTTCTGTCATGACAAATAATCAACATGTTCTAATCCTTCATGATCTAATCTCATACCAACCACATCTAGTCTACAGTTGTTCTTATGCCTGTAAAAAAAGACTGACAGTAGCTCTGAACGTAACAAAGGTGGGACTTGTGAACCCACAATCCAACAGAATCCAAATAATTTCTTTGATGCAAGCATTTATTTTAGGATGTACGTGTGTGTTTGAGTCAAAACAATGACATGATTTTTGAACATGAGGAGGACGGAGCTGTGGACCCAGAGGAGGACAGAACCACAGAGTCAGAACCTCTCAGACAGAGGATCATGAAGGAGATAAACAGTCTGAGTCAGACATTGAGGACTTTGTTGATGAAGGGGGTGACCATGATTTGTTTTAGAAGAGGGAGAGAGCACCCACCCCCACTAGGAGGTCTGACTCTGCTCAGAGGAGGGGGTCCAGAACCACTCTGACTGGGCCAGTAGAACCAAGCATCAGTTCTGAGCTCTGGACAACAGAGGAGGATGGGGATGTTGACCCACAGGGTGGACTAATGGAGGAAAACAACTTTTTTAAATTAACGTAAAATAAATATTTTGTTAATAAAAAAAAAGTGTTGAAATAAAAAATAATTTAAACTAGATATTTTTATTTCAGGCTGAGACAGCTCTTAAAGACCGACTAGGTTTTTTTTGTGGAAAAAATATTTAAAATAGTATTTTAAAGCAGTTTAAAAAGTTGGTTGATGTTCCTCCTGAGGAACATGAATAGTCATAAAGTTAAAGGGTTAAAACAGTTTTATTGAAATGTACAAAATATGAAGCTTTGTATGCTGCTCTGTTACCTAATCTTAATTTACTTGGATTTTCTTGGGAATAAAATAATCTTGAATGAGATATTCTTAATTTCTATGCATTTCACCGGAGTGCTTTTGTTTCATCAAGAAGCATTCAAGGTTAAATATTTCATATTTTAATAACATTAGGCAGTGTAGACAGACATTTTACTTGCCAACAAAAACCTCAAGGAAAGCAAATCTAGTAGAATAACTTCATTATTGTTGGATGATGACAGAATCTACCAGCAGTCACATCGAGACGCTCATCACTTCTCAGCGAGCTGAACACATTTCTAAGTTTCCAGCGGAGGGGAGGAGGAAAACAAAGAGCAAAAAGAGAAGCTGAACAAGTGTCACGGAGCAGTTATGAAATCTGAACGGAAAGGGTTGCTGCTTCCAGGTAAAGCTAGTGTACAGGACTTGTTAAATTATGGATATTTTACATGCATTTAGAAGCAAACAAAACAAAAACAAAAACGAAAACTATTCATAGGCCCAATTTATTTTTAACTAAATGTTTGACTGCCATACTGTGAAGAAGTGTTTATTTTTACCATTTAATACAAATTTAAAACCTTTTTACTCATGTTAAATGTTAAATCAATGTCTTATCAAACAGCTAACAGACAGTTACGTCACAGCATGTTAGGTGCACAGTGCATGTGGAAAAACATTAGGTAGGTGGGATTTGTGGAAAAAGTTACTTTTTAATATATTCAAGCTTAACCAGTTGGAGATTTGTTGAAGATAAAACAGCAGAATTTGACTAATTTATGTTTTTTAATATCTTGATTTTAATGCTGTTTGAGTTTTTAGAGTAATTAACAACCTGATAATAGAGTATGTGTTGGGAGCAACTCTCAGTCACCAGTTTGAGCATAATATCTATAAAATTAACTGAATTATAGTCATAGTTGTATTTTCTGGAGTCAGTTGGCTGCAGCAGCCATCTTGAATTGGGTTGGCAGTTGTATATGTATATCCATTAATTTTTTCCTGAAAGTTCAATACAATAATTCCAGTGGTTTATGAGATGTTTTGTGATTGACTGACTCCAACAGTTAATAACAAAAACTGAAACAAAGATGTGCTTTCTGTTTCTGTCAGCACTCAGTCTGTTGGAGATCAGTCTCAGCTACTAACACGACAAATTTGTAAAACTGAGAACAATTTTGTGTCTTTCAAGGTCAGTTATCATCTTGAATAGGTTTGACTCCAAAATTAATCAGTTGTAAATGCTCAAACAAAAACTACTTTGTTTCAGTAAAAGTAACTAGTGGTTCATGAGATATATATATATATATATATATTTTTGGGGGGTGTGGT